TAAAATGAGAATTTTCATTTCTCATTTTGCTGTCAGACATCAAACAATAGTCTCAAGAAGACTTCACAAATGTCTTAGCAACAAAATTATACAACTTCTTGGGTTCTTTTTAAAGACAATGCAGTAAAGTGTATTTACCTTGTTGACATGTTTCGGCTGCTAGCTGCAAACCATCTTCAGAACTGTCACCGGTGTTGGTGGTGACGTGTCATATATCAGCTGTTGTTACTTCCTGTAGGCGTGGTCAGCCTGAGGGACCTGGCAGGTCTCTCAGACTGACCACGCCTCCCGTCGCCCGGTGTCCCAGGTGTGTGAAAGGAGGAACACGCCGTCATCACGGTTAATGCTGTCCATGCACCAGTGTTGGTGGTGACGTGTCATATATCATATATCGACTCCGCCCGATAGTCGATAGCATAGGTTCGGTAACATACAATTTATCCAAAGCCCTGGTCGAAATAATAAAACCACTCATTGGTCAAACAAAATTCCACTGCAAGAATGCAAAACAATTGGCACAGGAACTAAAAAACATTACAATAGCACCGGATGAAATACTCATATCACACGACGTCATATCACTCTTCACAAAAACACCCGTGGATGTCACACTACGCATAGTACAGGAAAAACTTCAAAAGGACAAAACACTCAAAAAACGCACAAATCTAACAGTTGATGACATTACACAATTATTACGATTTATGGCCAAATCTACATATTTTCAGTACAACAGCATAATTTACAGACAGAAAGAGGGGTGAAAATGGGAGATCCACTATCAGCAATAATGAGCAGTTTTTTCATGGAGGACCTGGAACAGAAAGCATTCAACACCGCACCACCACAATGCCGTTTAACCTTTTGGAAACGCTACGTAGATGACATCCTGGAAAAAATACAGCAAGGACACACGCAAGAACTTACGGACCATCTCAACACACAAGACGACACAGGTAATATTCAATTCACACATGAGGAGGAGAAAGACGGAGCCATATCTTTTCTGGACATTAAAATCCACCACATCGCAGACGGCAGCATCAAAATTACAGTATAACGGAAACTCACACACACTGACCAATATCTGCTCTGGACATCCGAACATCCCACTGCACACAAACTTTCAGTAGTAAGAACATTATTCGAATGGGCCACACATCACAGACCACACCGACAGGGAGGAAGAGGAGAGACACATCATACAAGCACTCAAACAATGTCAATATCCCAGCTGGGCCATAAACAAAGGCAGACAACAAGTTATCAATAAAACCAACAAACCCCGGAAAAAAAACACAACAATCCAACACAGGGCAGCAGGACCACAAGAACATAGTCAAACTACCATACATCAGAGGTATAACTGAACCCATCCAGAGAGCCATGAAAAAACACAACATAAGCACTGTAGTAAAACCATACACAAAACTCCGCCAACAACTCGTACACCCCAAATGCAATGCCATATACGAAATTCAATGCAAATCATGCAATAAATCATACATAGGGAAACAGGCCGGGCATTTCACATCCAAAAAAAATGAACACCAAAATGAATGAGAAAAGGAAACGTCAGGGAGACTCACCAGAACACAAAAAGATAAAGCAGAACAGGAAAACCTAAAATCCGCCATATCAGAGCACTGTAAAAGGAACAACCACATTATGGATTGGGACGGGGCTCGGGTCATTGGATAAAAAAACAACAATTTCAAACGCTGATCAAGGAGGCCATTGAAATCAGGAAACGAGGCACGGACAGCATTAACCGTGATGACGGCGCGTTCCTCCTTTCACACACCTGGAACACCCTCCTCCAGAGAACACCGGGCGACGGGAGGCGTGGTCAGTCTGAGAGACCTGCCGGGTCCCTCAGGCTGACCACGCCTACAGGAAGTAACAACAGCTGATATATGACACGTCACCACCAACACCGGTGACAGTTCTGAAGATGGTTTGCAGCGAGCAGCCGAAACATGTCAACAAGGTAAATACACTTTACTGCATTGTCTTTAAAAAGAACCTAAGAAGTTAAAGTAGATAAGAAGACAAAATGAACATCATTGGCTTAAAATTATACAACCTTCTTGTAGAAGTGATGCGTGTGAAAGAACTGACTGTCCCAGCACTTGGGTCTAAGGCTGTTTAATTATGTATAGCATTCTTACTTATGCAAATATACTAAATAATTTCTACATGACAGCTTGAAGCGGGGGCCTAGAAGAGCAATGTGATGTTGAATGAGGAGCACTTTCTTTTTGTATGTGGGGGCAAAGAAGGAGAAAACTGCAGGCTCCTGGTTGCCTTGGTGCATACTGTTTTACATTCTAATTATGTGGTTTGACAGGCTTTATTGGCCAGACTCAATGCTCAGGCCTCATCCCAGACTCATTCCACATGTGGTGTCAGTGAGCGGATAATGAGATAAGATAGTTTGAGTGTTTAGCATTGCCTAGTCGCCTCTTCATTCATTTACTTCTTTTGCAGTCCTTGAAGCTCCTCATTGGCATTCAAAGGTTGTATAAGATCATACCTGGATAAGACAAAATCCTAAAATACCATAATTATTTGAACTTCTGGACCCGATTTATTTTGCATTCTAAGAGATCGAGCCAGTTGAAAGGTCTGCTGCTCCAACAGTGATTAAACTCAACAAAGCTTTGTGAAGTCATTTATTAAATATTTAACACAGTAAAGCCGCTCAACGACACAAACACAGATTCTTTTTTTTTTTTTTTTTATCCTAATTAAGCTATAGGGAATTCATTGCATATTGTAGGTAAACAGAAAGAGTCCTGGGAATAGCAATAGGAATGAAATGCTCTGCTGCCGTTTTTCTCATTACAGAATGAAATAAAACATTTATCATTTTCATCGACGTTCATTCTACTAAAAGCTTGACATTTAGTGGGTCAAACACTGATAAGGTGACAACTTTCTTCTGCTTATAGGATTTATGAGTTCAATGTGTTTTTATGGCCTCTGTAAACAAAAACAAAAAAAATGCAGCTTTGAGTGTGGCTTTTTTTTTTTTGGCAAGTTCAATTTAAACAGCCTATGCTTTTGTGGGTGCTGCTACGAGTCTTTTCACATAGCATTTGCAACCCCATCACTAAGCAACACGATTGCTACTTTTCTGTAAATGTAAGACCCAACCAATTTCCAGCTCACAATACAAATAAAAAATACATAAAATGCTTTTTTTCTGTAAAGTGTCAAGCTTTAAAATAGAACTTATACTCCTCTAACTTTTGCAGAATTTACTGTATAGTAATGAACTTTAAAGGGTCCATATTATGTTATTTTTTTTAAATCTATGTTATAATGTTGTTTCAGAAAACACCACCTTGTGATGTCATGTGGTAATGTGACACTGTTTTTTTAATGTCCATTCATGACATGGATCTTAAAAATTCTTAAAATAACAGGATAGGGTATAGCTTGGAGCTGCTTTGAGTTGGCGCAGTGGTAACTCACTAGAATATTAGCGAAAAAATTGCTCCTGCCAAGAAAAGATTTTTCTCATAGAATGTAATATAATCACAAACTGCTCGTGTTCGGCTGACAGGGCACCTAAAACTTTAAAAAATGACGAATTTTGTGTTACCTATTTTTAGATCATAAACTTTTTCTCTGCTCAAAGTCCTTTAGTTGTTTTGAAAACAGCTTTTTAAATGTTAGCTTCAGCTCCACTCTGTTTCTTCAAAGTGATCATGTTATACACAAGACCATGCTCCTTGCGTGCGTTTGCGTGGATTTGTCTGTGCCCGTAGGAGAAAAGAGCACTAATGTGTAAGTGCACACGTTCAATAAGCAGGGAGCCCCCGGAAGTACCTGGCCTGACTTGGCTAATCTGGAGACATGCGCCATTGAGCTAGGTCCATTGACTTGAATGGGTGGCCATGTTTAGACCCTGGGACTTGATTCATCATCACTAGAATCATTTGGATGATTTCATCCCTGGAATTGCCCATGTTCACTGAACAAAAGTTAAAAGGTAGCTGGTAATTTGAAAACTACTGCTTCATAACATCACAAGTTGGAACAGAGCATTTTGAGCTGGAGATGTAGTCAGACTAATAATAATGGGTTATCTAAAGATGGCACATGGTTTAGTCCAGGGATGGGCAAACTACGGCCCGGGGGCCCTTTAAACCTTTTAATCCGGCCCGCCGAACTTGAATAAATAATAATAATAAACCTTGTTAATGTTTTATTTTTCCTGCATTTCCGGCGTTTCCCAGTAGACGGCGCACTATATATACATTGAGGTGCGGCGGCTTCTGTTGACCGCAATGCTTTATGGGAAAGTATTAACAGGAGTCATTTTCAGGCGGCGTATTCGGACCATGAATGAGGTAAAAGTGTTCAAGACATAAGGCTGCACTGTTTCTGCTTTAAATCTGTGTTTAACGAAGTCAATAAATTCATGCTAACTGTTTTAGAATCTTCTGAATGTTTGGTTGAACTGCGCGTTAGCGTGGTCTATGTGTCGTCTACGCGCTCTGTGTAAGTGCTTGGGACACATGTTTTTCTTTGCTGTACAGTGGGGCAGGCCTCATTTCACTTTTCATGAGTTCTGGAACTTACATGACTAAAAGTTGCAGCGCGTAGTGCAGAGTACGTCCTACATGAGAGTAAATACAAGTGCAATGGAGCCGGGCTCTGAACACGTCATGTCCCGTCTTCTGTCCGGCCCTTCAGTCAAATTTTAGAACCCTATGTGGCCCCCGAGCCAAAAAGTTTGCCCACCCCTGGTTTAGTCCATAGTCCACAGGAGTCAGTTTTGCATAATACAGGACCTTTAATAGTCTCGATAATTAAGGTTCACCATATGAAAATACAAACTGGTCTTCTCATTTTGGATATCATTAAGGATAAAAAAAAATAACAATAATTAATTTAAAAAAAACAAAAACTTGCCTCATCTGTTGGTGCCTTGTTGAGATAATTTCTGCTTGGAGTAACCAGGTTGTCTGTTTGTTTTTCTTCTTCAGCCATTGAGGTGAACCTGCAGAAAGCCCTGGCCGAAGCCTCTGAGACATGCACCCAGGAGTGTTTGATCCTGGGCCACTCCGACAGCTGCTGGATGCCGCCCGCTCTGGCCCACTTCCAGAGCCCTGTGAGCGGCTCCCCGGCCTCCACCCCCACCACCACCTCCACCGGCACCTCTGCCCCCGACCCCCTGCACTCCTTCGGCTTCCAGAGCTGCCCGCGCGGAGCCAGCAAAGCTAACCTGGTCAGCTTTGGGCTCATGGACGGTCGGCACACTCTGGGTCGATCCGTGCCCAAAAGAAACGATGATCTAGACAAAGGAATGAACCGCCCGCAGTTCTACAACACTCTGGACAGACACTGTAAGAAAGAGGAGCCTGTTAAGGTCATCCCTTTGGCTAGCTTCTCGTCTCCAGGGCAACAGACCGGAGGAGGAAGTGGATCCTTCTTACACGAGCACCAGCTGTAAAAAGAGATAAATATTGCATCTCCAAATATATAGGCACCGTCCACAGTGACTTTATGATCTGAATGTGTGGAGGTATTTTGTTGAACCAGCTCACTCCCAATGTCCTCAAAATACACAGCACTCAATACGTTTAAATAAAACAAACTACACACAGTTGATGATGCACCAAAGTACTTATATTTCACATGAAAATTAAACAAAAAAAGATAGAAAAAATGTCTATAATTTACACGGGTATTGTGCAGTCCTCATGAAATCAGAATGTGAGAAAAATTTTCAGATATTCAGTGGTCCCTGGTTGCATCTTGCATAGACCCAACCTAAAAAATCTTTTTAAATTCACCATGAAAATTCTAGACTCACTCAATCTGAACAATTGTTGATAACTTGTATTTTACATTGAACTAAACTATTGATATATTAGTTTTTGATGTGGGTATGGTGCTGTACCGACTTATTACTCCAGCTTATTCTCCAAGTGTGTACATCCATGCTTATAAACAAATGCAAAAAATGTGTTTTGGGTGAGCTAAAATGGGCTAAATATTCATTATGAGTTGTAGGTGCATAGTGTTGCTCTTCAGGTTCTTGTGAATTATTGCTCTGTTTAATGTGTGGCACAAAACCTTTAGCAGAGAAAAAGTCATACGCTTTTTTTCACACTTCTATTTTGGTCAGGGGACGGCTGCAGAAAAAGTCTACAAAGCAAAAACTAGGCCAGTGGAAGACTTCACCGGTAATCTTTTGCATTCAAAATTCTCACCATGGACCTGTGCGCTCAAGTGTAACCCACGCTACTGCTACGACACACATACCTTAGATGTGATACATATGGCGGTTGAACCACCTCACTCTGTTCTAAAGGTCTTCACCCCGCAGTATCTCGGCAGAAAGGGTAGACAGATGCTTCGGAAAACTAGTCTTGTTTTCATTCCTTTTGTTTGCATTGCTTAGATTTCTAGCGCTCACCAACAGCTATGGAGCCAATTATGAAATTCTCAGTCTAATTACCTTGATATGTGATCTCGCTAGCAGCTTGTGTTGTGGTAAATGAGGACTGCAATAGCTCAATTGGACATAGAAGAACAAAAGGCAACCAGTGGGCTAAATTTCTTTATCTCTTTCACATCTCTCCTAATAGCAAGGCATTTTCTTCTTGTTAATTCCTATTAGGTTCGTCCCACGCAACATGAACACAGTAAGAAACAGAGGTGATCTTTTTCAAACTTTTGACACCAGAGACTGAACATTACCGCACCATTCGGAAACTAACCTAAAGTGTTATCATTTAAATTAAAAATAAAAAAACAAAATATGTGTGAATATATTTCAAATATTAAGTTCAAACTGTAACAAGCAGTGTTTTATTTATTGGTATTTTTGTATGTTTTAAGTTTTTCAGTTCCTAGTTAAGATTTTGATTCATTGTCCACTTGGAAGCAAAAATTTAGTACACAAAGTTTTTTTTCTTTTTTTGTTTTTCTTTTTTTCTCCAGTAGATGGTCTGTCAGGTGCTTTTCTCCTTGGAGAGGTTATTGCTTTGTCTGGAATGTTTCACCATATCTTATTAAACCTTTCTATCATCATGGGGACCAAACCAGACCAAGTTACAGGTCAGATCTTTGGAGAGGCAACCTCACACACAGTCAGAATGCCTGTTTTCTTGGGTAATTTTGAGCTATGAAACTATCTATAATTTCATAAATGTAAGATAGAGCTGTTTAATATCATACTGTAGAACATTCCAGGCAGCGCAATGTCATATCCATAGAAACAAGGTGATAGTGATGGTGATGGATTCCTATCTATAAAGTTACATAGTGCACCTTTAATACACTATTATAAATGACATGCTTTGGGTTTAGATTTGTGACTATTATCAAAAGAAACACTGTCTGGACACATCTGGACATCTATCAGCCAGTGTATAGTCTGCGCTGACGACGCTACGTACTTGAGCCGTTGCAGTAACTTGCCGTTTTAACAGATTGGGTGCAGTATAATCTATTGCTACAGTAATAAGTGACTTTGCTCATATCCATTTTTCTTTTCGCGGTAACATCTAAGCCAGGTGTCTACATCATCAGGTGTATGATTCATGTGATTCATTTTCACCTTACCCTCGTGCAAATTGGGAACAGGCCTAACTTCGTATTACAATGTGGGGGCCTCCGGGGAAAGCAACCAGGCGAATTCTGTTTGGGAGCTCTATTCCTATTCTCAGCCATGCTAGGGTCAGGAGACTGATCGTTATACAGTGAATTTATCTCCCGCTCTGCCAAAACGATCACTAAACGAAAACAGTGTGTCAAGGACAAGGACAGGGCCAATTCAATCTCACCTCAGTCAATTACCAAAATGAATTTAATAGAAAACAACCATCTCAAATACATCCTTCTATAAACATAATATAGGAGCAAGTTGTGGGTTTGGTGAGCCAATTTGCTTGTTTCTTATGCTCATTATTGCAGCATAGATTCATGAAACCTTATCAAAATGACAACATATCAAGGAAGCATGTTTAATAGGTGTAAACAGAGATGAGAATATTGGTATTTTTAGTGTATACAGTACTGTGCAAACCTTAGACAAGTACTGCACAAAAAGATACAGTCGCATTATCCAGACTTTTTTCCTAACGTATTCATTCTGTCTACATATCTGGAAAAAGAACTTGCTAATTGTGAATGGACTGCATGAGTGTAAGATTTTGCTTTGGATATTAAATAAATTCAGTGATTTTCGTTTTATTTATCTTATTTATTTATATATTGTTTGCAAGTTTATGTCAGTGGTACAGAAATATTCCCAAAAGTCACCAATTCCACTTTGCATGTCATCTCCAAAATCTTTTCACATATTTTCACCTATTTTCTCAAACATCAGATTTTGGTTATTTTACATACTAACTCACATCAAGTATTCGGACATATATAAAGCACTTAAACCGCTAACTAACTGGTATATGTAGACCCACACTATTAGAATCAATGTCAGCACTGTTGTGTAAAGCTATCTCCGTCTGTCTAAAAGTTTTATACAATGTAAACTTCTATTACTACTTTGTACACAACACACCTCAACTCAAATGTACATAGCGGTGCCCGTTTGGCAGTAATGAACTTGAACTCGCGTTAGGCTGACACTGGAATTCACTGTAAAGAAAATACTAATCAAGTGGACAATCTGAAATGTAAAAAATGGCTCCATATGCATAAAAATGTCTGATGAGTGTGTCTGAGTGTGTTGAAAAAGTGCATGTATGCGTGTATGTATGACAGTAATGTGCACATATCTGTATACTGGCATGCACCGTGCCGGAATATTTTATGTACACTAATGTATCTTGTAAAAATCTATGAAAATATTAAGTATACGCTTGTAAATTAGTCATCAGTGAGTCAGGTTGAATTCTGCTTTATTATGAGAAAGGCTTTAGCGCTTGCCAGCAAAAATCTGTATCAGTCAGTTACAGTTATAGGCTACTGTGTTGTCACGCCTTTGTAAAATATCCCATTTACACTGATGAAAAAATTATCTCTCATATGGTGAAATGATTTTTTTTTTCTTGTATTTGAATTTTACTTAAGGCATTAAAAATTGAGTCTTCAAACTGCACTGTTTCTCTTTTCCTTAACTCAGAAGACTGTTACATCTGTGATCAAAGACACAAGGGATTTCACTTACACATGTTTTAATTAAAGGATATGTAAAGGCACATGCTACTTCAGTAGTGCTGCTTTTCATAATGAATTTATTTTCTAAAAATTAAACACAGAAAAGACATAACTAACATGTAAGTGTATTCATGAAATAATTGATAATATGATATATGAGGACAACTTATTCTTTGTTTGTCTGTTTGTTATGAAATGCATCACAAAAAAGTGATCCACCACTAGCTGCAGGGATAATTCATACTATTGAATACACAGTACTCGTGTGTAGAGCAGGGGTCAGCGAGCGTAGCCAGTGATCTCCAATAACTGGGAGCACCTTTGAGGCTCTCTTGTCACACAGGTGACCTCGAATCAAATTTGTCACAGGTTCATCACTGCCATTTCCCCCGTGACCTAGTTATAGTTTAACTTGCAGGCACTGCATGCATTTCATGCATTAAAATATACATACAAAAACATTATTTGCATTTGTATTTGTGAACTATAGTACTCAGTAGTTGAACTTACAATGCATCAGTGTCTGGTGTCTTTATTTTACAATCTCAGATATCCCTTGTAATACAAGTCTACTTTATCCTAAATATATGTCATCATTCCTTCAGTCCTTTCAAACACCCCTAAGGCAGTCTGCCTCACCAGCAGCCATCATGGCTTTCTATATGATACAGGGACAAGGAGTGGACATAGCAGGTTTATATGTATTCCTAGTAACTCTCTCTACACCTCTTGTCTTTTTTCTCTTGCCATCCATCAATCTGTGTATCCATCCACCCATCCATGAAGACTGTGATGTCTCCAAAGCAAACCCCTACAACAGCTCTGACAATCCCCCCGGGACCCTCTGTATCCTACCTTAGGTCCTTTTGGCTTAATGCTCTGCCCAGTGTTCTCTTATGAATACATACAAGCCCACAGAGGGGAAGACATCAAGTGCACACTCCAGTTGCAAGGGGTTGATGTTCAAAAACAAGGCAACATGACAGCATCTCCAAAAGCAATGTCATGTAGTGCGGCCGAGGCGAGCTGGACTGTGTGATCCCTGCACCCCGCCGACATATGTTGGGTCCCCATCTGCCTTGAGGGAGCAGGCTGTGAGCTGCCACCTTCGTTTTCTATGGTAATTGGCTAATAATGAGACAGGGGGGTTGTACTGTCAAAACATGTACATACCAAACTACAGCAATCTGCATAGTCTGGTAATTACTGCATAATTAAATGTGAATAACTATGATCAAACTAACGACTTGCTTCCATGTAACCAAATTAGGCATACATTCTACCCAAAAGATACATATTTGCACATATATATGCAATTACCTTTTTACCACCAAATAACGCAGAGCAACATGGCCATTGTGATCAGACCACGTGCCACTGTAATTTGTTATATACTGAAACTTTATGAGATTTTGAAAGAATCTGGCTGTGGCTATGTGTTTTAAGCAGATTGGATCCTTTCAAGGTCCACATATTATGGTAATTGGCAAATAATGAGACAGGAAATGTTCGCTCTGTCAAAACATG